GCTTGATCTACTAGATTGCAACAAGAAAAATGTGTTAAACTGCTTCAAATGGAAGAATGGAGGAAAGGGGAGCAAGAGCAACTCGGGACAAAGAGGAAAATGAAAATGAAAGGAGAAAGACCAAAATGAAAGCAGAAGGGTGGATCGGCAGGGCATAGGGAAGCTTACCGACGAAACCCACATTGCTACAGTCTAAAGCTGCTCATCTCTGTGTTGCATCAGGATTCCCGTTGACTGGACAATCACCGACGAGCATCAAGTTGGAACTGCACATATTACCGACCTATATCTATTCGGTAAACAAAGTAAAAGCTGCACCGCCAGTGGCCACTAGCCGGATTCGCGGGGAGTTGCTGAAGGGCAACTTACCGACAAGCACTATGTCGGAAATGTTATCAAAAAGCTGCACCCCTGACGCAGGCAGCCAGCTGGTTGGCGGAGGGGGGGTGCATTGGGAGTGGAAATTATCGAGGAGATGGACGTTGGAAATTGATCCTCAATTACCAACGAGACCGTCGTTGCAAATTAATTTACAGGCGTACTTCTTGTCGGTGATATGCCTTTCCTCCTTCCCCACGCCGGCCGGAGTTTTGGTTACAATTACCGACAAGGAACACGTACGTTTTCTGTTAAATTACCGACGAGTCTTACGTCTGTACAATAAATAATATATCTTACTACCATTTCTATTGTTGCTCAAGTTGCAGACGTATATCTTGTCGGTAAATGGATGCTTCACCGAGAAACCTTCTTACCTCGGTGATATGTGGTCGGTGAAGCTCGGTTTTCTTGTAGTGAGAGCTCGACGCCCTGTCATAGTACCAGAGCAGAGCTTAGTGCCCCGTCTACAGTACCACAGCTGCACGGAGATTACGATGAGGATGCTTGTACTCGATCATTAGTCCTCACCTAACCCTCCATCTGTGAAATATCTACTCCGTCATAATACACCACGCTCATTTAATGCGGTTGCTTTGTTAAGGCACGTTATGTCCACCAAAGACGCTTGCCCCGTCAGACACATCATGTCATGATAATGATGATTAAGAAAGTCAGGTGGATGCCCAGTCAAGATATACAAATACGTCCACGCATGGCTCAAAAGAGGTATGATGAAAAACTAGAAAAACAACTCTTTCAAGATCCTCATTGAGAGTAGATCAAACTATTGTTGACTTAAGCATCGAAATGTCTACCCCGGGGACAACCCTCAGGGCTTTGCAGGTCGATTTGGCAAGAAATTCATAGCGTAGGAGACCTGGAAGGTTTGCTGCATCAACAGGTATGACGAGGATGAGAGATAAATTGCAGAAAGATAGGAGAAAGGAAAGGAAGACGAAGGATACTTTTATCTTTTTAAATTGATAAAATTAATAATAAAAAAAAAAAGGTTGAATGGTTGAAGCTGAAAGTATATATAAAAAAAATGCTCCAACAAGTTGCAGTAAGTTCCAATTGGTTATTTTAAAAAAAAAAAAAAAAGTTCCAACTGGTTGTTCTTTCATTGCCTTTAATGCAGTGTCATGTGATCCGTGATCCATTAAATAAGCAAGTGTTAATTGGACATTGCAAGAGGTAACTGCCCTAGCATTGCTCTTGAGGTGGATACATAATTTGTTGAATATGGAATCATATATCCAAATCTAAATTTGATTAATTTAGAAATGTCAACTTATATATATTCTCCTCCTAACACAATCCAATTTCCATTACATTTCGGGCAAAAACCAACATTTAGCCCTTTATTTTACAATGTTGATATGTTTTAACCCCTTACCTTATAACATGATAGTTTTAACCCTTTATCTTACAAAACTGATAAGTTTTAACCCCTTACTTTACAAAGTTAGTAGATTTTAACCCCTTACCTCACCTAACATTAGGTTATAACGTTCTGTTAGTTCTGTTGGTTGATTGCTAACATCCGTTAGCATTTCGTTAGAACAAAAATATAAAATTTAAATTCAATTTTATTTGTTAGTTCCATTAACGGAATGCTAACGGATGCTAATAGTTAACTAACAAAACTAATAGTCAATTAACAAAACTGACAGTCAGTTAACAAAACTAATAGAATATTATAACATGATGATAAATAATAGCTATTTTTTTCAATTTGTATAGAGAAAGTGGCTAAAAGTGTCATAATATAAAGTGATGGGCTAAAACTTACCAATTTTGTAAAGTAAAGAGCTAAAAGTGTCATATTATAAGATTAAGGGTTAAAACCTATTAATTTTATAAGATGAGAGGTTAAAGTTGGTTTTAACCTACATTTCGAGGGAATAAAAAATGGACAAAATATCTAACCCCAATTATTTCAAATCTTTAATATGAAACCAATTTAATTATTTCTAGTAGGAGTATATTTTATGTTCTTTTTAATGTTTTCCCGTGATCTCCATGATCATATCAGAGCACGAAAGCTAAAGAGAATTAATCTATATCATAGACCACATATATCTCGATTCTCGAAGGAATTAGCTAGGGTTGCTTCTTCCACATCAACGTTGTTATTTTCTTCTTCCTTTTTTTTTTTTTTTCATTTCATTTTGAAAGGACGTGTTAAGTTCATTTTTTGTTTGAATGAGTGGGGTTTTTTTTTTTTTTTTTTTCCATAGAATTAAGTTGTAAACATAAGGCAGGTTAAAGAGGGAGTATGACGAGATGGAAATTGTTATTTCATGTTTGCATATACTCTCTCTCTCTCCCACTATGCTTTTTAAACTTTGAGTTTCTTTCTAATTAATTCTATTTTTTATTTTTTAAAATAAATAAATTTTTTTGTTTAATTTTTTTATTATTTATTTTATTTTAATTAATTATAAAAAAAATTAATTTAATTTTTTAAGTTTATTCTAGAGATAATATAAGTAAATATATGAATTGTTATGAAATGTTTAATTAAAAAAACAATAATTATTTTGGGATATAAAAAATATTTTTTATTCTCCCTTAAAATATGAAAAAATAATTATTACTATTGTCTTAAAATAAATGTATTTTTATTCTTTTTAAAATTAAAAATTTAGAAAAAATTTATATATTTATTTATATTATTTTTAAAAAAATTAAAAAAACAAAGTAATATTTTTTATAATAAGATAATTAATTAAGATAAATATATAATGACAAGTTAAACTAAAATGATATTTATTTATTTAAAAAATAAAAAATTATAATTAATTTATAATAATTTTAAAATTAAAAAATAAAAATTATTTTAAAACAAATCTTTGAAAAAAAAAATCTTCTCGTATTATTTAAGAAGTAAAAGAGCAGAAATAGAGAAATGTTGAGCAGTAGTAATAAATTTTGCAAACCACACATGAGAACATTTCATGCCCCGCAAAGGGTGGTGACGGCGTCACACTATAACTGCCACGGCGACCTTTATCCGAAGCTTAAATAATTTCATTGTCTGATAATGAACCTGTCCAAAGTTTCGTCCAGATGCATATATTCTCTAGCGTAAGCGTCCATTGTTATTGTAATGGACCCCACCTTACGTGGTAAAAATAAAAAAACAATAACAATAATAATAATAAAACAGTATCTATCTAATTTATCTCTTAAAAATTAAAAAAAATATATCATTTTAAAATTATATTATTTTAATAAATTTTTATTGAAAAAAATTAAAATATTTTTATTTAAAACATATATTAAAATACTTTTTATTCTTCTAAATAATATTTTATTAAAATTATATAATTTTAAAATAATTTTTTTTAATATTTAAAAAATAAAACAAATAAACATTAATTTTTAACAATAATAATAAATATATACATATATATATATATATATATATAAGAACCCGAAATCAAAGCGTAATGAAAGGTACGGACTATGGAGCAGAGAGCCAGCCTTCTTAAAAATTGTTTGCCTCTTCACTCGTACCAGGGAGAGCGGCAATAAGAAGTGTGTAATAATCGTTCACTTCAAAATGTCTTTTTTCTTTCTTTTTTTTTGTCCATTCCTCTACTAGTATTACTCCATCCCTCTAACTTTATTATGCTTAATTTTTATTTAGGAGTATTTAAATTTAGTTATTTAATTTTTTATAATGTTATTTAATATATTTATTTGAGAAAAAAAATTAAAATGTCTTAATCATACGATGAATTTGATAAAATTAAAATTTATATTATATTTTATATATTTAATGACTGTGATTAAATGTCTTGATATTTTTAATATTAAGATGTTTTGATTTTTCATCTTTTTTATTTATTTATTTTTTTAAAAATAATTATAACATATATTAATATTAAATAAAAAATTATTTAAATAGTAATTAATTAGAGATAAATATGATTTTGTCTATTTAAATTTATTATTTTTTAATTTTCATCTGGCATTTATATCTTAAAAATTAAAAATTCAAATTCAAATTACTAAATTTGAACAAAAGTATTAATAAATTATTACATTTCTATTTTATTAGATAAAAACTAAATATATTAAAATTAAACAAAAAGTGTAGATGATAAGGATGAATTAATTTTTTCATGTGGCGAGTAAGTTGGATGCAACTCTAATGGGGAAGAGAGGAAGGAGAAATGAGGTTTTAAGTTTTAGTCGTGCGGATGAAGAAGTGTTTTTTTATTAATAATTTAACTAATTACTCTATAAACCTTTCTCTAAATTTAAATTAATTTTAAACCTTAATTTCTTAGTCTTTGAGATATCCATTAAACTTAAACAGCATGATTAAGTTTATTTCCTTGCTCCCTACCTAATAAAAAAGACACTTTTAAAATCACTGGAACAAAGAATTAATTTTAAGTTTGGGCAACTTATGGGGAAAGATGTAATATTCTTCAAATCTCAGAAATGAGTTAGGATATAGTTATATATAATTTTTACATATATTATTTACATAAAATTATAATAATGCACTCATTTACTTAAGATTTATTTTTATTTTTTAAATAAAAAACAATAATGTTTAAAAATTAAGATATAAAGTAGATAAATTTTAAAAATTTATAATAAAAAGATGAATATTTAAGATTTGATATAACTAATATATAAAAATTCTGTATAAGTAAATTCAAAATCCTCAAAAATATGTTCATTATACCATTTTTCAAGTTTCGCTACTCACACATTTACATACTTTAAACCCTAATAAAAACATTGAATTATGGTTGGTTACCAATTTGGACTTTCTTATACACATTTTCTATTGTTTGCAAGATTTTTTTTTTTTTTTTCTTATATACTACGTATTTGAGATTTAGCTGTTCAATATTGTAGGAATATGAACTCTAACTTTAGTTTTAAATTGACTAATAAAACCTGGGTCAATTGTTAGAGTATGTATAATAGTAATAGTTTTCTTTTATTGTTTTCATTAAAAATAAAATAGAGACATAATTAATTTTAATCTATTAAAGTCCGATTAGAATCTTACTTTAAAAAAAGAGTTCTTTCACCATGGAGAACCAACTATCATTTTATTTAGAAATATATATATATATATATATATATCATTTTTTTAAGTTTTTTACCTTTTAAAATTAAATTTAACCTCAAGCGGTGCTAATTCCATTGTTTTGCGGATAGTTCATAATGATGCATTGGCTCTCATTTATAAGATTTTTTTTTCTTTAATTCAAAATTTTTCAAATTGAGTTAAATAAAATAATATTAATATAATTTTTAAATAAATACTGTTTAAGATATATGAATTAAAGAAGAAACAATTTTTAAGCATTCTATTTAAGAATTAGCTATTTAAAATATAAATTTTTATAAATTATATTAATTCTAATAGTATGACACTAAAGTAATCTAGGTATCGAAGTAAACCTTTCCATTTTTCTCAGTCTTACATATTCTTAGTTTCATTTCAAGCGTGATACATATTTAGTTAGTTATTCACAGTTTTCTCGATCGGCAACCGCAAACAGAGTACATAACTTCTTTGTTTTTTTTTTTGGTAGAACAGAGCACACGACTTCAAAAAGCTACGGGGAATTCTTCAAGTTTCTTGGACTGAAAATTAAACCACGTAAGAAAAACGTTATTACTTTTCGTGTTTAATGAATCTGAACAGGACTCAGTTCTTCTTCGGGAACCTCTTCCTCTGATACTATTGAGTATTGAAGCAATATTTAGAGATTGTTTAGTACACACATTTAAAATTAGTGGTTAATAT